CCCACACCCATTTCGGCACACCCCTCACACGTTTCGTGGCTCCATAGGGAGCTCCACCGAAGGCCCCAGTGCCCGCGCCCGCATGCGTCACCCACACCCATGTCGGCACACCCCTCACACGTTTCGTGGCTCCATAGGGAGCTCCACCGAAGGCCCCAGTGCCCGCGCCCGCATGCGTCACCCACACCCATTTCGGCACACCCCTCACACGTTTCGTGGCTCCATAGGGAGCTCCACCGAAGGCCCCAGTGCCCGCGCCCGCATGCGTCACCCACACCCATTTCGGCACACCCCTCACACGTTTCGTGGCCCCATAGGGAGCTCCACCGAAGGCCCCAGTGCCCGCGCCCGCATGCGTCCCCACCACCCATTTCGGCACACCCCTCACACGTTTCGTGGCCCCATAGGGAGCTCCACCGAAGGCCCCAGTGGCGCGTCCGCATGCGTCCCACACCCATTTCGGCACACCCCTCACACGTTTCGTGGCCCCATAGGGAGCTCCACCGAAGGCCCCAGTGCCCGCGCCCGCATTTGCGTCAGCACACCCATTTCGGCACACCCCTCACACGTTTCGTGGCTCCATAGGGAGCTGGCCCCAGTCCACCGAAGGGAGCACGCTGCCCCAGTGCCCGCGCCCGCATGCGGTCCACACCCATTTCGGCACACCCCTCACACGTTTCGTGGCCCCATAGGGAGCTCCGCCGAAGGCCCCATGCCCGCGCCCGCATGCGTCAGCCACACCCATTTCGGCACGCCCCTCACGCGTTCCGTGGCCCCATAGGGAGCTCCGCCGAAGGTCCCAGTGGGTGTGCCCGCATGCGTCCCGCACACCCATTTCGGCACACCCCTCACACGTTTCTTGGCCCCATAGAGAGCTCCACCGAAGGCCCCAGTGGGTGTGCCCGCATGCGTCCCGCACACCCATTTCGGCACACCCCTCACACGTTTCGTGGCCCCGTAGGGGGCTCCACCGAGAAGATATTCACAATTGCAATATTCACAATTGCATATGGTTGGGTCCTTCGCCAGGATAATTCCCAACCATCCTGTGGTGTTGGGTCCTCGTTTTGAAGAGACGGTGCCCCGCGTCTCCTTCCTTCCTCCTCCTCCTCCTCCCGCTGCCTCCTCCCTCCGCCCTCCTCTCCCTCGTTGCCTCTGCTCACGGCGCACCCCTCACACGTTTCGTAGCCCCATAGGGAGCTCCACCTAAGGGCCCAGTGGCGCAGTTCGCATGCGTCTCCCCCACCCAGGACAGTGTTTCGTGGCCCCATAGGGAGCTCCACCGAGGGTCCCAGTGGCGCAGTTCGCATGCGTCTCCCCCCGCCCAGGACAGCTTTTCGTGGCCCCATAGGGAGCTCCACCGAAGTCCCAGTGGCGCAGTTCGCATGCGTCTCCCCCACCCAGGACAGCGTTTCGTGGCCCCATAGGGAGCTCCACCGAAGGCCCCAGTGGCGCAGTTCGCATGCGTCTCCCCCATCCAGGAGGACAACGTTTCGTGGCCTCATAGGAAGCTCCACCGAAGTCCCAGTGGCGCAGTTCGCATGCGTCTCCCCCGCCCAGGACAGCGTTTCGTGGCCCCATAGGGAACCCCACCGAGGGTCCCAGTGGCGCAGTTATCATGCGTCCCCCCCACCCAGGACAGCGCTTCGTGGCCCCATAGGGAGCTCCACCGAGGGTCCCAGTGGCGCAGTTCGCATGCGTCTCCCCCACCCAGGACAGCGTTTCGTGGCCCCATAGGGAGCCCCACCGAAGGCCACATTGGTGCAGTTCGCATGCGTCTCCCCCAACCAGGACAGCGTTTCGTGGCCCCATAGGGAGCTCCACCGAGGGTCCCAATGCCGCAGTTCGCATGCGTCTCCCCCACCCAGGACAGCGTTTCGTGGCCCCATAGAAGCTCCACCGAGGGTCCCAGTGGCGCAGTTATCATGCGTCCCCCCCACCCAGGACAGCGTTTCGTGGCCCCATAGGGAGCCCCACCGAGGGCCCCAGTGGCGCAGTTCGCATGCGTCTCCCCCACCCAGGACAGCGTTTCGTGGCCCCATAGGGAGCTCCACCGAGGTCCCAGTGGCGCAGTTCGCATGCGTCCCCCCCACCCAGGACAGCGTTTCGTGGCCCCATAGGGAGCTCCACCGAGGGTCCCAGTGGCGCAGTTCGCATGCGTCTCCCCCACCCAGGACAACGTTTCGTGGCCCCATAGGGAGCTCAACCAAAAGGCCCCAATGGCGCAGTTCGCATGCGTCTCCCCCACCCAGGACAACGTTCCGTGGCCCCATAGGGAACTCCACCGAGGGTCCCAGATGCGCAGTTCGCATGCGTCTCCCCCACCCAGGAAGGCCCCAGTGGCGCAGTTCGCATGCGTCTCCCCCACCCAGGCCAACCTTTCGTAGCCCCATAAGGAGCTCCACCGAAGTCCCAGTGGCGCAGTTCGCATGCGTCTCCCCAATCCAGAACAGCGCTTCGTGGCCCCATATGGAGCTCCACCGAAGGCCACAACTGCACT